AAACATACTGGCTATGTATAGAGCGATCTTGCAACACTGTTTTAATCTGTCATTGCATTTTAAACAAAAATAAACTTTTATTTTTTATTTTATTCTTTTTATTCAATTTTTAAAAAAATACTTATGCTTTTTAAAAAATTTATGGTAATAACCTTTGAATACTTCAAAAATTATCAGAGGTAGGCGATTACCCAAGGGCGCGTTTGTCTAGGGCCGCAAATGTCCACCGACGCAATTTTCTGGTACTCAATTGAACGGAAAACAAATGTCCAGTACGCAACTCTCCTTGAGCCACATTGCTTTTTAATATTATTTAGTAACACTATCGCACTTATTGTTTGTGGTAATCTCTTCCAGTATTAATCTTCAAAAATTTAAATGCAATGTCAATCGTTATGTTCTGTCTTCTTAATTCTTGTTCTTTTATTTAATCCTCTCTTCCTTCTAATTCTTGTGTTTTTTTTTTTTTTTATACTCAATTTAATCTTCAAAAATTTAAATGCAATATCAATCGTTATCTTCTGTCTTCTTAATTCTTGTTCTTTTATTGTCCTCTCTCCTTAATAGTGTTTTCTTTTTCTCATATTCTCAATTTGATCTTCAAAAATTTAAATGCAATATCAATCGTTATCTTCTGTCTTCTTAATTCTTGTTCTTTTATTGTCCTCTCTCCTTAATAGTGTTTTCTTTTTTCATATACTCAATTTAATCTTCAAAAATTTAAATGCAATATCAATCGTTATCTTCTGTCTTCTTAATTCTTGTTCTTTTATTGTCCTCTCTCCTTAATAGTGTTTTCTTTTTTTTTTAAATGCATATATCTTCTGTCTTAATTTAATCTTCAAAATTTAAATGCAATAAATGCAATCAATCGTTATCTTCTGTCTTAATCCTAATTCTTTATTGTCCTTTTATTGTTCAATTTGATCATTAAATGCAATGCCAATCGTTATATTCTGTCTTCTTAATTCTTGTTCTTTTATTGTCCTCTCTCCTTAATAGTGTTTTCTTTTTCATATTCTCAATTTAATCTTCAAAATTTAAATGCAATATCAATCGTTATCTTCTGTCTTCTTAATTCTTGTTCTTTTATTGTCCTCTCTCCTTTTAATAAAATTTAAATGTGTTTTTCTTTTTTCATTTACCTCAATTTAATCTTCAAAATTTAAATGCAATATCAATCGTTATCTTCTGTCTTCTTAATTCTTGTTCTTTTATTGTCCTCTCTCCTTAATAGTGTTTTCTTTTTCTTTCTCAATTTGATCTTCAAAAAATTTAAATGCAATATCAATCGTTATCTTCTGTCTTCTTAATTCTTGTTCTTTTATTGTCCTCTCTCCTTAATAGTGTTTTCTTTTTCATATACTCAATTTAATCTTCCAAAAATTAAATGCAATATCAATCGTTATCTTCTGTCTTCTTAATTCTTGTTCTTTTATTGTCCTCTCTCCTTAATAGTGTTTTCTTTTTTCATATACTCAATTTAATCTTCAAAAATTTAAATGCAATATCAATCGTTATCTTCTGTCTTCTTAATTCTTGTTCTTTTATTGTCCTCTCTCCTTAATAGTGTTTTCTTTTTTCATATACTCAATTTAATCTTCAAAAATTTAAATGCAATTCGTTTTTTTTTAATCCTTGTATACTCAATTTAATCTTCAAAAATTTAAATGCAATATCAATCGTTATCTTCTGTCTTCTTAATTCTTGTTCTTTTATTGTCCTCTCTCCTTAATAGTGTTTTCTTTTTTCATATACTCAATTTAATCTTCAAAAATTTAAATGCAATGTCAATCGTTATCTTCTGTTTTAATCCTTGTTCTTTTATTGTCCTCTCTCCTTAATAGTGTTTTCTTTTTCTCATATTCTCAATTTGATCAAAAATTTAAATGCAATGCCAATCGTTATCTTCTGTCTTATTAATTCTTGTTCTTTTATTGTCCTCTCTCATTAATAGTGTTTTCTTTTTTCATATACTCAATTTAATCTTCAAAAATTTAAATGCAATGTCAATCCTTGTTCTTTTTATTAATCTTCAAAAAATTTAAATGTTTCAATCGTTATCTTCTGTTTTAATCCTTGTTCTTTTATTGTCCTCTCTCCTTAATAGTGTTTTCTTTTTCTCATATTCTCAATTTGATCAAAAATTTAAATGCAATGCCAATCGTTATATTCTGTCTTCTTAATTCTTGTTCTTTTATTGTCCTCTCTCCTTAATCTTGATTTTCGCACATTCTCTAAGAACTTGGTGCGTCTTAGTGAATTTTTGAGTGGCTTAGGACGAAATGATAAAAAAAAACAAACTGTTAACTCAAGTGCAAACTGAAGCTAAGTCTCTCTTCTTGACTATTGCAAATTGAACTTATGTACGCTATTTCAAGCAGTTTAATCCAAACTTATCTGTACATTTATTGATCTAGTTATGTCTCTTCTTGACTGTCGTTTAAACCGGGCCTATATCATTTAACTAGTTTAAATGGAACCTAGGAGTAATTTTTTCTCTAGTGTAAACAGATCTATATCTAGCTTTTTGTCTTTAGCTTAAACGAACCTACTCGGTCTGTATGAAAAGTAACGAGATTGGGGGGTGCTGTTTGAACTATGGGCGAAAGATGGATAAGCGGATTGTGTTATCGTCTAAAGTGAAATCTTGGGAGTTTATAACTGTAATATTAGCGTTTGCTTCGCTCAGTGCGCGTGAAGAGGCGAGTATTGTGTCAGCACAAGTCGTGGCTGCTTTACCACGACAATGCACAAGCTCACAACCACCCTGAGCATCCGGCAGTTACTGGCAGAGTAGAACATCGCCGTACGGGAACAACGTCATTAATCACTAATCATTAATTTTGCTCCGTGTGACTTTTTTTTACTTTTCCCCAAGTTCAAGGAGATCATCAAGAGGATTTGATTTTAAGACGTGGAGGTCATGAAGAGATCCGCTAAGGGGCATGCAAGAAGAATTCTTCCAGTAGTCTATAAAATCATGGCAGAGAAGGATGGAAAGGTGCTTTAGACTCGAGGGGAGTTACTTGGAAGGGAAAACTATGTAGTTGTATAGTATTGAAATAAATTGTTTCTGACACAAGTCCCTTTACTTTCTAGACTGGCCTCATATTTCAACCTTTTGACTCAAGTGTAAACAGGATCTACGACCCTCTTCTTGACTCATAAAATGGACCATTTTCACTCTTGGAACATGAGACTGAAACCGAAATTATATGTACCAATTCATTGATTATATGTTAATTTATTTATTCATTATGGATCACACTTATAGTCGATATTAAATAACCAACAATGGTTGATATGTTACTAACAATTTGTCTTCACGGTCGTTCTGACGATATCGAAAACTTGAAGAATTTATTAAAGCACAGATGAAGAAAAATTGACGGAGATGTTTTTTCCTATCAGAGAATGGTAAGAATACCACGGAATAAAACGAGTAATTCTTAAGAAATATGGGAACTAACATCAGTTCGCTAATTTACCATTTTACCATTTGAAATCTCTGCGGAATGTTGACTAGATAGAACAGGTCAGATGCTGAAAGCAAGCAAGCAAGCGTTAATCACCTCGTACCAGTTAATATTCGCAAGGACCGTTTGGACAATTTGCGTAGGTGCCTTAAGACAACTGGTTCGGCGGTAGAAGAAAATTTATTAAACATGTACCCGCTTTAGAACCAAGACATGCTACCGCGGAAATATCGCGCTGATTTCCATTTGAAGGTTTTAGTATTAATTTATAGTAAGTCCTACCAGCCACCCCTTTCTAAGCGGGATGCGTGGTAGCCAGGTTTAAATATAATCACTTTTGATCCATATATATTTATTACTAGTCTAGAAGCCGCCCGTTGTGCCTCCGTCCTTTTAGCTTCAGAGTCCCTTGTACGTAAAAGTTATAAAAATTTTGAAGTAATATAAATTATTTTATCTTTATTCGGCATCTTGATTTTGCATAATCTTTCTTCGTATACGCAAACAACCTCCGTAATTTGTTTACATATTTTTTTGCGAGCAATTTTTCTTTTTTTTTTAAATCACCATTATTTATGACCCCTTCACATAAAGTCAGTCTTAAAAGACATTAGGGAACTCGTACTATGTAATATTACGAATACGTCAGAGTACGCTTGCTAGAAAAAGAAAAGAAAAACATATGAACAACGTACCGTGCCCCGTGTAAGTTTTAATTACGGTTTAATTAAAATTACGAAGACAAACGAAATTAAAGCTAAACATTTAATAAAGAATTGCTTTTTTAAAACTTTCACTCTGTTCGATATTTAAATTTAACTTTAAAAGTGTTATTTATTTCATTTTTAATCGTGTGTTAGTACAGTGTGACTAGCTAAAATCGAAGAACGGACGGACGGACACACGTACACCACGCTTAATTTATATAGATAGATATGATATTCGTTCTTTTCCCTAGATATTTATCATATGATATCCGTTTTTATCCTAAATATTTATTGTATGATATCAGTTCTTTTATCCTGTATTGGGCTCAGATAAGAAAGGAACGATAAACTAGTTAAACACCAATTTTTTTTTTTTTGCTAATTGCATTTTTGGATCTCGATAATACTGCTTCACGATAATGTAATTTTCTATCTTGTTCCTTTGTTATACTTCCTCTTGTTGTTTTAAAATGTCACTGGCATTAAAATAACAAATCAATTTTCATTATGTGTATTCGTTAAGAAACGGAATTTTCATTACGAACTCTGGGAAAATTAGTTACGAAAGACCAGTTTTGAAATGAAGCCATATTGTCGCGGAAGTATGCCTGGTGTGACGGTTATCAGCTCTGAAAGTAAAAACAGCGATCTGTGTTCAAATCTGAGGTTAGGGTTTTCACGTTTGTACGTTTGTTTGGAAACGGTATGGACGCAACATTTTTACCCCCAGATAAAGGTTAAATAGTATAGTCGAGAGTCGTCTCGAGTTTTAGTTGATGCGTTGATTGATATAAAATAGTAACGGCTGCATTTCGTTGAAACACAGGTTCCATTAAGATCAACGAAGTTAAGCAACGTCGAGCCTGGTCAGTACCTAGATGGGTGACCGCTTGAGGACACCAGGTGCTTTAAGTTTGACTGTACGAATAGTGTAATTGAGAAAGTGACTGAATTCGAGATGCCAGGTTAGGATCTATTACATTGCAGATCCTTTGTCAAGAATCTCCAGATGAATACAAAGAGCACCAAGCCGTATATGGCAACAGTATTCAATTCGCGGATGAATGGTAGATTTGTAAATATGCAAGAGGGATTCTGACGAGAAATATTTTCTCAGCGACGTGACGTGGCTTCCCTCTGTCTTTTCTTCAAATATTTACATGGCAACTGCTCTGACGAGCTGTTTTCAGTGTTGCCTCGACTACATGAATTTAAGCGTAGTACTCGGCTGACATATATGTCTAACACGTTTACTGTTGAAATAGCTAAATGAAGCCGCCACATCTACCCCAACAGTTTATTTCCTCGCACTACCGTTTAACTGCTTCGCTGATAGCTACATTCTTCAAAATAAACCCCCCCCGTATTCCAGTGGCGAGAAGTAACTTTCACTCGAGCTGACATATAGGTCTAACCCGTCTTCCTGCGAACCACTGCCTTTTGGAGCCGACTCCTAATAGGATATTTCCTGATCACTAAAATCATAATCGGTTGAAGACTAGGGTTAATTGGTATCTTCCATTCCTATACACGACACTTGCCTCTTAACGTAACAGTTTGCATCGAGTGTCCCCCGGGCATTGTGAAAAAATGATCAAAGACATGCATTCCAATTCCTTGTTTCTCTATTATTCGCGTTATCTCAAATTCAGTCATTTTCCCACCTACTTGACGTGACTTCCTTCTGTCTTTTCTACAGATATTTTTATAGTAACTCTTCTGATGAGCCTTTTTTACTGGTGCCCCGACTACAGGAATTTAAGCGTGCTACTAGATTGACATCGAGACTCAATCCGTTTACTGTTGAAATAGCAAAATGAAACGGCCACTTTTAACAGTTTATTTTTGAGGTCTTCTCTCCGTTTGCTTGCTTCCCTGATAATTATGATGTTCAAAATTTTAAGTGCAGGATCAATCGCCATCTTCTATCTTCTTGAATCCCGTTCATCTTTTGTCCTTCCCTCAATCCTCCCTATACTCAGACTTTTTCCTCACTCTCACTCACTGTAACCCCCAGAGTATTTGTGGCATTCCCGCCTTGTAGTGAAATAATTAAAAAACAAAGCAAAACAAGCAAACACAAAAATGGAAAAGGAGATAAAAACATTATGTGTCTTCCTACCGAACTTACAGTGAAGTAATTCTGGGGAATTAGAAGTCTACCAGGGTTCATTGTTGGCGACTATTATGTTAATAACATAAGATATGCAGACGACACAGTATTGATAACAGATACAGAAAGGAAAATACAGGAATTCCTAGAGAAGTCGTAAAGGAAAGCCAGAAGGAATAAACATCAATTGTAAGAAGACTGAAATTTATGGTTGACAGCAAAAGGGGCAGCCCAACATGGGAATAACAAATTGGAGATTCCAGAACAATGAAATTATAACAATTTTAATATCTGGAAAGTGTTTTAATCGAACTTTGAAAATAGGACACTGAAATCGAAGGTGCATTTAGATAGCGAATGGTATCTTCCAAAAGCTAAGCAAAGTATTAAGAAACAGGAAAAAACTCCTTAGAAACAAATAAAAGAGTACTTAACAGTACTGTAACATCGGTCCTTTTTTATGGCAGTGAATGTAGGAGAACCTCCGCCCTATCAGCTGAGGCTTCAGAATACTCCGAGTGCACCTCTGCAGAGGGGTAAGAACCCCCACCACTAAATGAGACAACCTGGTTAAGACGATAGACTACGTCCGGCAGCAAGGCCTCTGATCAGGAAGTTTTGAGAGCGTAGAACCACCTCTTAATTGCTGGTGTTCCCAGGTTCATCCTGACCCGGGATGGCAGCACAAGTTAGGGGATCCCAGCTATAGGCAAATAAAACTGGGGTCAAAATGCTATGAAAATGTAAAAATAGATATTAATACCAGAAATACATTTTTCTAAAAAAATTATTACAATGAATTTTGGAAGGAAAAATTATTACCAGCAATATATTTACAGTATTTACATTAGGACACATGGCACAGTGGATAAAGGCGTTGGTTAGATCCAGTGACAGACCCAAAGAAGGTGAGTTCAATTCCTGGTTAAGGCAGTGGAGAACTTTCAGAGGGAAAATTAGCAGGAGATAACTGATAACTGACATCCATCAAACATGGCACGTGGAATTAGAACAGTCTACCCCGGTGATCGAAATAAAGGGTTCAGTTCGAAATTCCAACCACCTGAAGAAGGCCGGAGCGTACAACGGCCGAAACGTTGTGACAAATATGGCGACAAAGATGAGGACAATAGTCCGACTAATGTAAATACTGTACATAATACCTCATCTCAGAAATATAGACAAGCAATATATTTTTTTAAAAATTATTGCCAAAATTGTGGAAAATATACCAGCTATACAGCTTTGAAAAAAAAATACCAGCAATAAAAGTCGTGTCGGCATTAAACAACCCATTGAGGTTGATATGCCGTAAAACAAACCAAATCAAACCAGCAGGACGATCTCATCAAAGATGGTGAAGACACCTGAGACAACGGAAATGTGGTTCTAGCGAAAGATGCCGAGAATACAGGTGAGCAAAAATAAAGTTTTAGAGAAAATGGAATCAAAAAGGACACTTATATTTAACATCAGAAAATGTCAGTTGATACTTTTGGGGCATAAAAGGAAGAAAAAAGGACTTATAAAATTTGAAGCTCACAAGACGTGTTGACGGCTAAAGAGAGAGATTTAGTCAGCCTATACCGTACCTAAGGATTTTGTGTAGATGGTTGGCAGAACAGAAATTGGAAGATATAGCCTAAAGAGAAAATTTACTAAGTGTTATAAAGAGGAGGGAATTTTTACAGAGCCATGATCTTCCAAGTCCTGAAGGGACACGACATATAGAAGAAAAAATGTAGAAACCTTCTGTATGATAAACCCTTTTCAAATTCGTATCCTAGTTTTTATAAAATTGTTTTCTTTTAGCGCAAGCAAAGTTGAATAAAAGTAGTAATAAACTGATCAGAGCAACCAATTCACTGCAATGCGCACAAAACGAGACATTGCCTGTTTTATCATCTTCACATCTTTATTTGGCAACGGTAAATCTTTCAATAATGTGATTAAGCAATGACAAAAGTCGTGCGATATTTGATTGGTAGTTAATGAAAGTTTAGTGAATAAATTTGTAAAAAAATGTTTTATTTTGGTGTTTTCTAGAAATGCCCTGCATGTGTGTCCCGGTTCTAGAAATCGATGGTGGCTACCGGATGCCAGAGACGATGACTATTTGCAGATATTTGGCTCGAGAATTTGGTGAGTATTTTTTATATTTCAATTTGTATTTGCGATTCAACTGTAAGCAATATCAGTAGATAAAAATATTGTTGTCCTGATAATAAAGTTAATAAACAAAGGAATATATATATATATATATATATATATATATATATATATATATATATATATATATATATATATATATAAAAGTGAACATAGAAGTCAACACTTAGGAGCGACAGTCTGTTTCATGCTATATATGCAATCGTCAGGCCACAAAACGAGATATTGTTGTCTGTTTTATCATCTTCACATCGTTATTTGCCAACGGTAAATATTTCCGGTGGCCTAACGATTGCATTTAGCCTCTAAGTGTTGACTTCTTTGTTCACTTTTATATTTACAAAGATCTATCTCTGATATTGAGCACTTTATTCCATAAATATAGCACAACTTAAGACCATATTTATATATATATATATATATATATATATATATATATATATATATATATATATATATATATATATATATATATAATGAGAACGAAAACAATATATAAATTTTAACGTTCACAGTATAAATTCAAAAGAGGGTTCAATACCGATAGTAGAGCAATAATTATTTATTATAATTTTTTGATGTAGATAAAAACAATATCTGTCTATATTTCTGAGATGAGGTATTATGTTCACTATTTACAGTATTCGGATTATTGTCCTCATCTTTGTCGCTAAATTTATTACAACGTTGCGGCCTTTCAGTATCTGTCTATATTTCTGAGATGATGTATTATGTACATTATTTACATTATTCGGACTATTGTTCTCATCTTTGTCGCCATGTTTATTAAGATGTTTCGGCCGTTGTAGACTCCGGCCCTCGTCAGGTCGTTAGAATGTCGAACTTAACCTTTTATTTCGCTCACTGGGGTAGACTGTTCTAGTTCCACGTGCCATGTTTAATGGATGTCAGTTATCAGTTATCTCCTGTTAATTCCTCTCTGAAGATCAGGAGATATCTGATAACTTGACGTCCATAAACATGGCACGTGGAACAAGAACAGTTTACCCCAGTGAGCGAAATAAAGGGTTAAGTTCAACATTTCAACAATACTCCGAATAATGTAAATAGCAGATAAAATTAAACAAAGATGCCACTTCGTTTTGGTGCATTTAGTTGCACCTCGACTGAGTGAGAACCAAAATGGTTATGTTGTTCATAACCATTTTGCTTATATATATATATATATATATATATATATATATATATATATATATATATATGTGTGTGTGAGTGTGTGTGTGTGTGTGTGAAAATATTATATATTATATATATATTATATATATATTATATATTATATATATATCATATCATATATATATATATGTGAAAATATATATATTTTATATTAAATATCACCATATAAAATAACCAATAAGGATTACAAATTTCTACCTGTTACATATACACAGTCAGCAAAAACAAACAAATAACCTGCTTTAAATATAACAAATAAACACCCTTTTTTTCAAAAATTTAGAAATAAAAAAAATAAAAATAATAATTTTTACCTATCATAATTTTACACAAACCCCATCACACGTATATACATACATGCGAGGAAATATTATTCAGCGGAAAAATAAATAATATGACATGTATACATTCACGAGACATTCACGAGAC